AGGAGGCTACAATGCTTGATAAGAAATGTACTCATTATCTTGCCTATGTAATTGTAACCCCTCTGGACAGTATTTTCACAATAAAAAAACATGTAAACAAAAAAAATGAGTTCATGACTGCATAAATGCTCTAGTTTATATTTTCCCCAAAATTATCTCAGTAATGATAGTGCAATCTGTGCTGTACTTTTTTCCAGATAAAAATCTTCACCAATCAGTGAAAGGTTATCTGAGGCAAATGAAGACTAGACATAAAGGCCAAGTGCAGATCGTATCTCAGTATATGGCTTTCATTATCACAGGACATATTTCATCTCAAGTACACAATTTATAAGATCACAACTTACAGTTACTACTTTGTCATTATTCCTAAATTAAGGAAGAAAAATATAAAATGTCAACCTTAGCCCATCGAAATAGGCAGTTAATGTCTTAATTCAATTGATTGTCAGAAAGTTCAAATATGGAATCGGTTTTTTTTTTTAACCAGTCCTAGGGTTTGAACTCAGGGCCGGGGCTCTGCCTATGAGCCTCTCTGTGCTAGCTCTCCTACCACTTGAGCCACAGCACAACTTGCTTTTATTCAAATAGGCTTTTAAAAAAGAACTGTTTTAAACCCCTTTAAACTATGATAATAGATTGCTTTTTCTGAGTAGTTTATTAGAGATAAGACTCTCACGGACTTTCCTGCCTGGACCGGCTTTGAACTCTGATCCTGAGATCTCAGCCTACTGAGTAGCTAGGATTACAGGCATGAGCTTCTACCAGTCTCTGGCTGGAAATAGTCATTTTTAATATAAAAGATAAAATCATTAACAAGATTGTAATTATGATAATACTGTAACTTACTGTCTTAGGTTTTCAATCATTTTTTCCATTGCTTCCTCCCAGCAATATGCCTTAACGGAGTGAATATTTTCAATCATTTCTGAGGTGATCACAAGTCTCTCATTGATCTTTCCAGCTCTCTGATCTCTGTAAACCAATTAATTGATGTATCAATAGTAAAAACAACTCAAATTATCCATGAACTGATATTAATTATGTTTCTTATATTAACTAGATGGACATTAATTTTCTTAGCAAATAACGTTGGCAAAAATAACAGCTACCATTTAGTACATGCCTCTTCTTTGCCTGACACTGCACTAGATGAATTCTGTTCACTGTCCATACTCTTTCTGGTGGCCATTATCTCCATGCTGAAAGCCAGATGAAAAATATGTTCAAGCTGGGATTTAAGCAAAGACCCAGCTGACTCTGAAACTTGTATACTTTCTGTCACAGTCCTTCTAACATAAGCAGTACCGAGTATTACTGATTAATTCTGTAACAGTGGCTCTGGTATGATGATCCATAAATCAGAGTAGAAAAAAGCCAAGGAGTTTTATTGACTTCCCCCTATGTATTCCTCCAATTTATATGAATATTTGAGTATTCATTTTTACCTCAATCTTCTGAACTATGAAAATGCACTGAATATTAACACCAAGAAATTCTGTAAAGCAAAAAATATCCCATTGATACCATTATTATTTAGTCCATTAAAATAACTCATTTAAGGTGACATTCCATAGGTTACAGTTCAGTACAAAGAGAAGTCTTGCTTTTATTCAAATAGGCTTTTAAAAAAACTGTTTTAAACCCCTTTAAACTATGATAATAGATTGCTACCTGTACTTCATCATTTTTCTCCCTAATCCAGCTTGGGCAAGAGCAAGGAGTATAAGAAAAGCAAGGCCACAGAAGGCAGAGGCCTGCAACAAGTCCCAGAGCAGCCCCATCAGGAGGGTCACTTGTAAAGGTGCAATCCACACAAAATGTGTCAAAGCAAGCCCCTGAAAAATAAAAGCACAGAGACAATAAGTGTATGCTATTGTCCACCCCCAAAACCAATCATATGTGGAGCTTAGGTAAATAATGCATGGCTCTGAACACATTCAAAACCAAACCTGAGTGTTCATTAAGTGGAGTGCATAGCAATGGGCATAAGCAATCTACAGAGACCCTAGATTTTCCCAAGGATTTAATTTAAAGTCACTGCACTGCAAAGTATATCTTTATTCAGTTGAATTTTGAGATTGAATATCTTAAGCATAATATCCAGAATTTATTTCAAATAATACTTTTTTGGACAAAGCAAGAACCCTCATTCAGATATGAGGGAATAAAGGATTCTCCTCAGAAACTGCGTTCATAATCAACTGCATACCTCTATTATCTGACAGAGGAATTGAGAATAAATATATGTTTAACTCAGCAGTAATTTATTTAGCACTTGCTATGGGCCCCGAGCAATGTTAAACAATAGAAATGTAAAGGTAAGTAAAACACAGTTCTGTCCTCAAAGACCTTGACTTTATTTGTCCCATAAGACAACATAGAACAAGAATTCCTCAGCATATCATATTTAACCAAAGTAAACAACCAACTTAAAATATTAAAAGGAAGCAAGGTCTGATAAGGATTAAGATGGCTTAATAAGAGAGTTGAGATACTGTAAGCTGGGCAGATTCATCAGACCTCAAAATGGCACTGTTCTACAATTCACCTCCTCAGTTTCCAGAAATAGCCACAGTAAGGGATGAAAAAGGCTTATCCAGTGGTTCTGTTATCCGATTCAAACTTCACCTTTAGTAAAATGTGATTTCTAATATAAGGAATAGAAGATTTAATCAATAGGTACATACTTCGTCAAATTTGTTCAGGTTGTTGGAAAGAAGACTAATGAGTTGTCCAATACTTATTTTATCTAGAACACGACTTGATAGCTTTAAAGTCTAGAATAAAAATGGAAAGTTAGAAGATGTCAACTAACAAGATAATCATATTTATAGGTAAAATTATAATAAAGCTGAGGAACTAGGCTATAGGCATTCATTTTACTACAGGAAATGAAAATTACTTTATATTCATCTGGTTTCATGTCTCCACAGATTTATAACTATCTTTTTTTTTTAATTTGTGAAAATACTGTACAGAGGGGTTACAATTGCATGGGCAGGAAAATGCGTACATTTCTTACCAAGCATTGCAGCCTCCTCCTTTGTTTACCCTTCACATCACTTCCCAGCCTCCCCCCTCCCCTCCATCCCAATCCTTTTCCTTCCCCCCTCCCCCCCTCCCCCCCCCACCGACGTTGTAAAGTTCGTTTTGGACATGACAACTA